ATTTTGAGGAGGGCCTATCCCGCATGTTTTGTGTTGCAAGGTCTTATCGCGAACGTGCGCGACGCTGAGGCGGGGGCCCCGTTTTAAGAAGGAACCGTCCTCCACGTTTCAAGTGTTGCAAGCCGTTATGAGAAGTATGCACGGCGCTCAGGCCAGGCCCCGTTTCGAACATCCCCCCCACCATGCATGTTATTGCAGCAGGCTTTTCTGACGAACGTGCGCGGCGCCAGGGTGAGATTCCAAGCTTGAACATGTGTTTGGGTCTGTTATTGTAATTGTTGCATGTGTTTTTTAAGCCGGGCGTTCGCAATAATAAGGCGAGAGCCACAAGTTGAAACTTGCTCCCCTCCATCCGTGCAGCTGGCGCAAGCTTCTTGGACGAATGTGTGCGGCGCGTTGATGAGAACCACAGCTTGGAACCAACCCCTTCATCCTTGTAAGTGCTGCCAGCGTTTAAGACGAGTGTTCCCGGCGCCACGGCAAGAGCCTCCTTTTGAGTCCACCATCTCACCTGTGCAACTGTTGCAAAGTCGAAGCTTCACACGAAACGTCCTTCCCGCCCTATCGACACGTCTGGGGGTGCGGCAGGGAAGGACATGTTTAAGGAAACTGGGTGGAGGGAACAGAAGGGGAGGCGTAGCTGGAGGAAGAAATGCCAGAGAAGAGAATCAGGAGGAGGACAACGAGGAGGGGGGGACGAAGCGGGAAGGAGGGGGAGGTGGGAGTGTCTGGTGGTTATGGCCTCCTGCATCTTTGTGTGTTACGATGTGTTGCTGGGCCATCTGGCCAGTTACATTTAATTCTCGGAACTACTCAACTCCTGGCGTGCCCTCTGGAAATAAACTCGGGTCTTGTTGCGGTAGTTGTCTGATGAGTTCCTACTATGCTGTCGTATCCCCCTTCGATTGCACACACCTTTCATCATCTATACCCGTCTTCACGTAGCCCCGAGTTCTCTTAGCTTCATCGTGCCAGTCTTTATGTAGCTCGGGAAGGTGGCGGGGTCTGACATCGGTGAAGCATGTCTCTAATGTAGATATGCTGCCCTGTGCGATGCCAGTGGACTGGTTGCAGACATGTTCTTCCCATGATGTCCTGGGTGTGTCCAGCTGGTCAATTGTATATTCTTTTGCGCGCGTCCTCCTCAGTGTGAACATTGGGATCAGGTTCTGCATTGAAAGGAACAGCTTGGCCACAACAAGTCGACGGTACCGATGCGATCGCCCATTGTCCAGGACCCGTATCGTCTCACAGGTTTGAATTTGACTTGTCATCTGACTCGACGCTATGGTGTATTCCATTTACTTGGATGGACCCTTCTCTTGTTCAAGTGTAGTGTAGTCCCGGCGTCGTAGTGCGCATGCTCAGCTGCCGATCCACCGACACCTTTGCCAGCCTTCGTCCAGTCGGATCGGCCTCTTAGGCTGGCCTGCAATCTCTAACGCTCTCAAGATCTCTTGGCGTTGGCGTCGGTAAGGGTGAAGTCTGGCACCCATTTGAGAATCGTTTGTCGGATCCCACCATTCGTTTCTCTCAGCCGCTGGAGCGTGATACTGTGGAGCGTTCAACACGGCCACTTAGACGCAAATGCACGGACAATCGAACATCACGACCATCTTTCGGGGACTTCTCTCGAACACCCTCCTATGGATGTTGTGGCATACGGCACTGTCGTCGACACTTGCAGCAAGCAGTCCCCATCCGAGATATGGTACCCGCCTGCATTTGTCTACTCCGCTGCCCTTCGTTTCTTGCGCTTCAATCGATCGTATTCGGCATCGGGGTACCGTGTTGTTGATTAGGTGTCGTTCTCTCCCCACCCCACCAGCGATAGCAGCGCCACCTGGCTCTCCAGGGAGGCCCCGCCAGACCGCGGCAGCCATCGGGACACGGTGTTGTCTATCAGGCTTCGTGCCCTCTCCACTCCACCAGCCTCGCCGGTGCCACCTGGCCCTCCAGAGAGGCCTCGCCGGAGAGCCTGGACAGGGGGCCTCCTCTTGAGCATGTTCGGGAGCCGCCCTCTCCTTCCCCCCGTCGTCGGCGACGTGCTCACGTCGGCGCCCCCTGACCTCCTCGCGCCGTGCACGGACGACCCCCGCGGCCGCAGGAGCTTCCCTGCAAAAGCCGCCCACCTCCGAGGCCCGTCCAACAGAGCACGGCCGAGGATGCCACGCGGCTTTCCCCGAAGAGAGGAGCGGATGGGCACCGCCACGTCGGAGCCCTGGGTCTTCGTTCCTGCAACAGTGTTTGAGTATTCCGCGGCGCACCCAACGGCTGTCCTTGTCGGCGTCTGCCCGAGAAAGGGCAGAAAGGGCTGCGGGAGGCCGAACTTTCGCAAACGATCTCCGTCGCGATGTTTGCCACGGCCGTGGTGGCCCGCAACGTGGTCGACGACATCGCGTTGCAACCTGCCCGCCTCGCCCCGTAAGGGCGCCCCCGAGTACGCGAAGTGATTCGCGCTTCGCGCTTCGGCTCCGATTCCTCGTCGTCCTCCTCTTCTCCCCTGGGGGCAGCGCGAGAGCGCGAAGTTATTCGCGCTTCGCGCAGCGCGAAGCGCGAAGTTAGGCGCCCTTGGTAAAATCACCCCCGTCAGCTCCCCCTTCTCTCAGGAGGGCGAAAAGGACACACAGACACAAAGCATGGTCGATTCTCAGGAAAATGTGGAAACTATGGGAAGGTGGGCGGGGGAGAAGATGATCCAGAAGATATGGGAACATCGAGGGATGCTTGTTGTGACCCTGGGCCCCTTCATTCTTCCCTGCCTCTGTCTGAGCCTCGGGGGGGTCCTTCTGAGCGCATCCGCGAGCTGCCCTCGCCACGGCGTGCTCGCGCCGGCGCCTCTCCCCAGCCCCGCCCCTCCCCGGCTTCCTCGCGCCTCTTCCCTTTCTTCCCCCTTTGCCGCGTCCTTGCTCCCCCCCCTTCCCCCCTCTCTTCTCCAGCACACGTCCCTCCTCTCCCCTCTTCCCTCTCGTCGCCCTCTTCCCTCTCCCCTCCACTCCCCGGAGCTTTCCCTCCCTGGCCCCAGCCCGGCTCACTTCTGCAGGCCCCTTCCGCGTGCCGCGCCCTCTCTTGCCTCCTGCCAAGCTCCGCTCCACCTCCTCCCATCCTCCCCCCGTCCGCCTCCCATCGTCCCAGCTCCTCCCCCCGACCCTCCTCCCTCTCCGCACGGCCCGCCGGCCGCGCGAAGGGGGCCTCCCGCGGAGGAGGTCGGGCGCCGCACGTCTCCTGGTCATGTTCGTGAGCTCCCGCCTCCCCTGCTCCCTGGTCCCCCTCCCTCCCCCTCCCCTCTCCCGCCCTCCCCCTCCCCTCTCCCTCCCCCCCTCCCTCCCGACTCTCCCTTCCCCCTCCCTCCCGACTCTCCAGTCCCACCCCCTCCATGGTCCCTGCTCTGGTCCCTGCCTGGGGCAGGGGCCAGGCGGGGGCGGGGCATGGAGGAGCTCCGTGGGGCAGGCTGCCCCTACGGCGCTCCTCCCTGCCGCTCCCCACCCTCGAGATCCCTCAGAAGTTCCACCAGGGTCAATCCGACGGTCGTCGAGATAACTCGAAGGCAATCGACCACCATAGAAATGCGTGCTTCAGAAGGCGCTTCAGGGCTCGGCCGTTAGTCGCGCGCGCGCGTTCTCTTCTCCGACTTTGGACGCCCTGTCGCTGCGCGCGGGGCCGCGACGCCAAAAGTGCTTCAGAAGACAGGGTGCATTCGGAGGCAGCCGAGGACATTTGAAGACCCCGCTCTCCCCCCTCCCTCGCTCCCTTCTCGCTCGCGCCGCAGGCGACGCCGGGCAGCCTGTCGAACACGGTGTTCCACCGCGAGCGCACCTCCATCCCGCAACGGGTCTTGCTTGCGATCTGGCTCCTCTAGCAGGGCACTATACGTAGGAGAAGGGAGGAGTTGGAGGAGGGAGAGGCATGGACGAGGGAGGAGGAGGAGGAGGAGGAGGAGGAGGAGGAGGAGGAGGAGGAGGAGGAGGAGGAGGAGGAGGAGGAGGATTCTCCCTCCCTCAGCCGATAAAAAATGGGTCAAGCCCTGCAACTGTCAACCACGGTCCTCTGTGTCACCCCAGTCGGCGGACAGAGAAGAACTCAACGCGTCGGGAGGTGATGGGTTGGGTGGGGGTGTGTGCTGGATGTTGGGTGTGTTGCGAGCGCGTTTCTCCTGCCCCTCTACCTCTCCCGGCTGCTGTCCGCTTCCACTGCCCTAACCCCTCCCCTTCGGACCGCCGCGGCGGCGGGAGAGGAGAGGCCCCCGAGCGCGGGGAGCCGGCAGGTTGCGCAGGGATCGCGGGGACCTCAGGCATCTCCCCTCCCCTCCCCTCCGCCTTCCGCCGTCCACCCGCCGCGGCGTTTGCCCCTCTTTTCAAGGAGCTCGGGCGTGACGTCTTCTGCTACGGGCCCGTCGTCTGCTGCAGGCTCTGTGGCGCCCACGGCTGTCGGCAAGTGCCGCAATCCGTCGCTCAGGTGTCAAGGCCCGTCCAAAGTTGCGCCGGTGTTTGCCAATCACGATTGCATGTGAGACGTGCTCAGCAGGGCAAGCACCTCAATACGGGTGGGCCCTTCCACATGCTGACTCCGTACGCTGACTCCATGTGGTTTAGTTTTTTCCCCGCCCCCTCCGCCCTGTCACCCATCGTCGTCCCGCCCGTGCCGCATTCTCCTGAACGGCCACGTGGGCTCGGGCACCGAAGGCTAGGCGCGAGGGTCTGCGGGCCTCCCTGCCACAGCCACCTGCGCTCGCAGGCTGGCTGACTTCACCCAAAGGACCTTCTGGTCGGCCTTTGGCTTTTCAGGAAGCGTCATGGCCAGCGTGCCTCCCCCCCCCCTCCCAGGCTCCTTCGCCCTACACCCTGCTCTTCCGTCCTCTTTGCTCCGTCGATTCCTTCCCCCCCGCCCTCCGCCCCCAGGCCCCTCGCGCCATTCCTTGTCACCCCCCTTCGGGGATCGACGTTCGATGCACCCCCTTCTTGCCGACCCCACTTTGGCCGCCGGGGAAGGCCAGCGGCGGGATGAACGACCTGGCGCCCAGAGGCCTCCCCCTCGCAGAAAGCTCTGTCAAGAGCACGGGTATCGGATAAAACGCTGATCGCCCCTCCTGACGGGCTGCAGAGGAGAAGCTGGCTGGGCTAGGGTAGCTTCCGCTCCACGGCTGCTGGCCAGGTCCCGTCGCAGCAGCTTGCTGGAACTTGCAGATTGTCCTACAGGCGCTGCCCTACTCGTTTCCCGGAGGTCCGCAAGCGTTTGCACAGCTCCTTCGCAGCGCTTCTGGAATTCACGCCCAGGTCCTTGGCAACGATTAGGCAGCGTCCCCTACGCTCGTGGGCAGCGCCTGTGGTAGATTCGCGTCGTGCCGACCTGCGGGCAGCCCGCCTCTGGCGTTCCAACGGTGGACGCCGCCAGCGACCCAGAATCGGTCGATGTTGAACGATCTGACGTTTCAGGAATGGCCGAACGTTCAAGGTTGAACGATCCCAGGAGGGCAGAAATTAACGACGGGGTCGTCACGACACGAACCTGCGGCAGGCAGCTGCGAGGTAGCGTTTCCCAGGCTCGTGGGCAGCGCCTGGGCTCGGCGCCACCCCAACATTCTTACACCAACAAGTCGTGCGTCACCCCCCAAGACGCGACGCGCGTGCCAAACATCTTATAGTGTAAGTTCCGTGGCGGGCGCTTTCCGCTCGGAAAACGACATGTTGCATGACGATCGTACTACATGTTCGGGTCGGACGCACGCCTCCGACGATGACGCATGGTACTAAAATGTTCCTCGGTGTCCCACAGGCAGCTCCTGGGCAGCGCTTCCTCCCCTCCCCATTCGGCGCGTGGTTGGCCCGCGCGGCCGAGACCTAGGCCTGCGAAGCACATCTGGGAGGCCTCGCGTGGCGCACAAGCCGGGGCCAGCCAAGAGAGGGGTGGTTATCAGAGGGGGATCTCATGGCCGAGGCCATAATCTTTCCGAGATGTCGTGGCCCCCCTGTTCATATCTCGGTACGTCCTCTGGCTCCCCACCCCAGGCGCCGCCCACGTGCTTCCGGCCTTGATTTTTGAATCCCTCCTCTTGATGCCCGCCTTGTCAGATATGGGACGACGTTCGGGCGTCGATGTTCCGACGCACATGCGGCGCAGATTCGAGGTTATTCCGACGTGCATCCGACGCGGATCCGACGTCAATTGGGTCTCAGGTCGCCGCGCGAGTCCTCCAGGATTTTCCATATAACGAGGCAGTGCCAAGGCGCCAAGGGGGATTACGACAGCGACCAGAAGCGTCCAGAAGCCTGGGCGGCCACCCCCATTCCTCAGCCCTCCCCATCTTTCAGAGGAAGACGGTATTGATACTGCGACCCTTGCCTCTTTTCCGCTTTCTGGTGGCCTCCTGGGAGGACCTCGTCGCTTCAAATTTTGGTCAGAACGTACCCTGGGATAGGTCCAGGGAGTAGCGGTATTGGTACCGTTTTGGTACCGATTTCTTTCCCCCATCTCCACACCCGGGCCCCTCCCGCCACTCTATATCTCCAGGCCTCGCAATCGGTTCCGAGAAGATGGGGTCGGAGGATCGCGCCGCATCGCCGATGGCGGCTCGATGTGGGACCCGGTTTTCTCTACGCCGACGGCGCCAAAGCATCGCCGATGCGGCGCGATCCTCCGATTCCATTTGCTCGAACTCCTTCTGAGCGACGGCAGAAATTGGGTTCGACTGCGCCGACATTCCCGCGTAAGCTGCCCGCGAATTTAGGACGGAGCGTCAGCGCCCTCGATCTCCACGCGGTGCGCCGCGCTGGCGGCCCGCGTAAGCCACGGCGCAGTGTCGCTATACTAAGGCCCGCTTCCTTGCGTCGCTCACCTGGCAGGCCTCCAATTCTCCCCGCCTCTTGCCTTCCGTCCGAGCATCGCCGAGGCGGCGCAGCCCTCCCACCACACCTGCTCGAACTCGGTCCCGGGATTCGTCTACAGCCTCCCCCGTGCCTCGTGCCTTCCGCCCCGGCCCCCCTCTGCTCTCCAGCCGCCTGCCGCGGATCCCGCGCCCAGTGTGCGAGCGCCCGGCCCGCGCGCGGGCGTTGGCGCGCCCCCGGGGGGGGGGCGGAGGCCTGATGAGCAAGCTGCCCTTCGCCGTCGACAAGGAAGCGGGGGGGGTCGGCAGGGGGGCGGCAGCGGCGGGGAGATGGCGAGGGCGAGGCGGGGGGGGGGCGGGGGAGGAGGGCGGGGCGGGGGAGGGTGTAGAGGGCGTGGACGACACGGAGGAGCCTGACAGCGATCATGATGGTAGTCGTGGCGATGGTGTGATGGTGGTGGTGGCGGAAATGATGATGAGGAGGATGGTGGTGGTGGTGATGATGATGATGATGATGATGAGGAGGATGGTGATGATGATGATGATGATGAGGAGGAGGATGGTGATGATGATGATGATGATGATGATGATGATGATGATGATGATGATGATGATGATGATGATGATGGTGATGGTGATGGTGATGGTAATGGTGATGGTGATGGTGATGGTGATGGTGAGTGTGACGGTGACGGTGACGGTGACGGTGACGGTGATGGTGGTGATGATGGTGGTGGTGATGATGATGATGGTGGTGATGATGATGATGATGATGATCATGATTATGGTGGGGACGATCATCAGGCCTGATGTGATTCATGGCGCTTCGCGTTTACCGCCCTCCCATTACAGTTCTCGCCGTTCTCGCCAGAATAATTCATTGTCGCCGAGATTGGGCGACAATATCCCGCAAATCATCTTACGTTTCCCCACATGTTTGTTAGGTATGTTTTCTTACGCTCGATTTATACTCTATCCCATCGCAGATTGTGCTCAGGTGTGCCGTGTGGCTGATCGATGTTGACTTCGTCGGTTAGTCGTCAGCCCGTGATCATTACCAACGGATCAGTGGCATGGACGCTGGCGCTCTGGAACCCGTATTCCTTATCCACTGCAGGAGGCTAGAGATAGCCAGAACACTGTCCGAGACCAGCCAAAGACGGCCCGAAAACGTCCCCAAATGCGCCCACGAGGGCCGAAGAGGGCCCCGAAAAGGGCCCCAAAGGGGGGCAATGAGGGCACGAGGCGGTCCAGGGAAGCCTCTGGACGGCCCGCGTTGGGCCGCAGCCCCGTATGGATGCCATCGGAGACTGGGCCAGTTCGAGGTTTCCTTTGGCTTCGCTTGGGGGTCCAAGTTGGGCCCAACATCATCCGAAATTGACCCCAGAGCAATTCGCATTGTGAAACATACCCCAGACGAGCTCGAGAGTTAGCTGTCAGAGGCTTCCGGGCTGTTGCGAAGGGCCAGAAGAGACGCCGCGGGCGTGCGGCAGCGTCAGAAAGGCAGACGAAACCACTTTGCTTTCGACTTCCCGGCTTCCAAACGGGAGCCAACCAATTTCCAAACTATCAGCGTGGTGGCCCGCAATCGTCGCAAAGAGCCGTGCGTGATCATCCCACTCGAACAAGCCGTCCACGGACGAGCGTAGCCTGCCGACGGGTGCACCTCACATTCCGTCCGTACCACTGCCTTCCGCCAGCGCGTGGGCCTCCTTCCCCAAATGGGCTTCCATCGCGCGCGTCACCGGCCTCTCGGAGCTCACGCGAGTTGCCGCCAATACATTATTTTTTGCACCGGTGGCCGCCGAAGTAAGAACAGCCAGCTGTCGGTCGCGACCAGTCGGCGAGTCACTCCGTCAATACATCAGCCAGCCAGCCAGCCGATCATTCAGTCAGTCAGTCAGCCTGTCGCCCAGCCAGTCAACCAGACGTTCAAGCAGCCGCCCCCGTACGCGAACAACAATATCGGGTTCCGCCAGAGAGACAACGCGGGAAACGTATCAAGTTCCGCCCGCGTTTCAACATCGCACGCCACGCTTGGTGGATACACCGACGCTTACATGCGCAATGCGTGTGTTAGCCCGCCAGATGCGACGGCGTGTCGGGTGTCAAGCATCCAAGATAATGGGCTTTGATGTTTCCCTCGGGAACTTTGACACCAGGCAAGAGAGAGAGAGAGAGAGTGGAACGAGGACACGACCTAACAGAACTGTTATGGTTCGCAGGTTGCTTGACCAGGAGGGGCGTGGCATGATTGGGCTTTGCCTGGATGCCATGGGTTTGCTTGCGCCTCTCAACGTCTAGCTGCCCAGGGAATCGCCGTTGACCCCGAGAGCGGGGTGCGGCACGCGCCAGAGGCGGCAGAAGCGTACCGCAGCGGATTTTGGGCAAAGGATGCGGCAGTCGATGACCTGGGTTTTCTGCGAAGCCGCCAGCGCTGCCGAGGCGCGTTGCGAACCGTGTTTTCCGGCACCTCGAGGCGTTAGCAGCGACCCGCGTTTGGCGCAGTGTGGGGGCCGAGCGGCGCGAGGGCATGCTGTCGCTTGGGACGGCTCGGGTTGGGGCGTTTTGGCTGCAAATGCCCGCTGGGCCTGCCGGGTTCTTCCCCGTCTTTCCAGTTCCGGGCGGCGTCCCTTCGCAGGTTCGGTGCGACGGTCGCCCCCAGAGGAGCGACATGTTGCATCCTGCGCTGGGATTGAGATGGCGCGGAGCTGTGCGGGCAGCTGCTGGGCCGCACGTTTCGGCATCCAAAGTCCCGAAGCTCTGCAAGCGTCGGGAGCGGCCAAGAGGGGGTTGAGGACTAGGGGTGTGTGCATATCATGATTCAGTTCATGATGAATCTTGGAACTAAACAACCAGCGCGTTTGTTTGCAGCCGCTGTGTAAGATCATTGTGCCCGCGCAGTCGGCAGGCACATTTCACCAGTGGCACAATGCGAACTTACCGCGTTGTAAATGTTCGTTGTTCTTGCGTTCCGTTGCACCGTGGCTCCGAGTGCCCCGTGGTTCGTGGCTCCATGGTCCCTTGGCGGCCCGTGGTTTCTCGGCATTCTGGCACGTGACCTTGATGGCCGCGTGTCCCCGCGATGCCGCGGCTCTCGGCGCCGCGGCACATTTGCGACGGGGCCGATCGCGAAAACTTTGCGGTGCCAAATAGTGGTGCTCAATGCGCTCGTTGGCCTCGAGTTCCAAGAAAACACGCGACGCTGGCCATGCCATTCCCGTAGAGACCATGGCACGGACACGAGTTTGCCGGGAACACATGGCAACGGCCATGAGTTCCGAGAGAACGCATGGCACTGGCCATGGAACCCCAGAAACCAAATGGCACGGACACGAGTTTGCCGGGAACACATGGCAACGACCATGGGTTCCGAGAGAACACATGACACTGGCCATGACATTCCCAGAAACCACACGGGGCACGGACACGAGTTTGCCGGGAACACTTGGCACTGGCCAGAAGTTCTGCGAGAACACATGCCAAGGGTCGAGAAATCCTTGTTGCACCCCAGAGTCACAATCAAAATCAATATCAAAATCCCCATGGAATTCGCGTGGGCATGAGTTCTGCGAGAACGCATGGCCAGGTCACGCGGTTCACCGACGCACATGCGCACTTTTCAGATTCACCCCCCTTCCCCGCATCCATCCCGCCTTCCCCTCCTGCCTCCCGTTCCCTCCTGTCGCTCCCCCCCCTCCCGGGCTGCCTCCTCGTTCCCGTGGCCCCTGGGGCGCTTCGTGGCCCGTGCCCCGTGCCCCGTTGCCCAGTGGCCGCGGCCCCTGGCCCGTGCCCTGTCGCCAGTGCCTGGGCCGTTGAGTCCATTTGGTGCCTGGCGGCAGGTATTTGGTAACGCGCGTCGTCATGGCTGCGAAATGCTTGGAATCTGAGGGCCCCAGGGGTTGCGAAGACACGATTCGGTCGGCTGGATGGCACGTCCAATAACGCCTCTTTGATCGACCTATGCGCGCGTTTTGAAGTTAGCTCGTAGCGACTGGCCTCTGGCTGCGTTGGGATTGGCGTGCGTTCGCGTTGCTTGCGAATGGGCCGCAATCTGGCTGGCTGGTTTTGGTTCTGAATTTATGATTCTGGCGGTCAGCGGGCTTCTATGATATCCTATTGCGTTCGCGCGTGCGTAGCCCTGCGAGCTATGCGCAGCACTTGCCTCGAGCCACCCCCCCCCTCTTCGTCACTCCCCTCTTTGCCGCCCCCGAAAGCGCGGGCCTGCGCTCATGCGCCCCCATCGGGCCCTCGCGACAACATGGGCCAGGCTGCTGCGCGCGCGCCGAGCGGAGGTGGGTATGAACCGCACGGTCCTTTGGCTGAGCCAGAGGAGGCGCAACCAGTCCAATGAGGAGGCGACCGTGGACAGATTCGTCACATTTTCAGGTTGCGAGCGGCCGTTTGATTCAGATGTGTCGATCCGCTGCCCACGCGCGCAGTGCAAGTCGCAGGCGGCCCTGGCGCGGCGGCCTCAGCGGCGGCGCCTGGCAAACGGGCGCGTCACGGCAAAGCTGTGCTCCGCCAGTTGCAGCCTCCGGGGCGCATGAGCAACGCCCCGGCTCTTGCCGCGGTGGCGCGCTTGGCGCGGCGCACTCGTGCATTGTGCGGCCGCCGGCATCGACCTCCTCTCTCTCTCTCTCTTGTTTGTTTTTCCTCTCTCTCCCTCTCTCCCTCTCTCTTGGCTGCTCGCCCCCCGTGGCCAAGACGAGGGTGATGTACGGCAGGGTGACCAGCGCCAACGAGTTCGCTCCTGTTGTATCACGGAGTGCGCATGTGCGCTTGCAGTGTCTTAGCAGGAAGAGGAAAAGGATGAGCAATTGTTTTCGGAGGGGGCGGAGGAGGAGGGGGAGGAGGTGGAGGTGGTGGTGGTGGTGGCGGTGCAGGAGGAGAAGCCCATCTCGACCGTGACCTTGGTTTCGACCAGGCCTTCCCCCCTCGACGTGAATGGTTGCAGTCCCTCTCGGCCCTTTTGCCCCCCCCGATCCGCGACCTCGAGAACCCGACAACTCCCCGACACCTCGACATCGACGCGCCTCGGCGGCGGCGCGCAGCTGCAACCGATCGGCGAGCGGGCTGCGGGCCAGCGGGTTGCCAGCGGCGAGCGGCGAGGCGGCGAGCGGGCGAGCCGCGTGGCGGGCAGGACGACCTCGACCTCCAGAAGGGCTTCGACCACGCATTCTGGACGGGGTTGTCACCGCAGGGGCCGCGCCGCCCGCCGCGCCGCGCCCCGCCGCGCCGCCCTCCTCCTGTTCGTGCGTCGTGCTCCTCCTCCTCGGGCTCTTCCTCGGCCTCCTCATCTACCTTTTCCCCTCGTAGACTGCGTCGGCCTCCTCGTCCTCCTCGGCCTCCTCCTGATCGTCGTCCTCCTCCCGTTCCCTTTCTGCGTCATACCGCCCCCGCCGCCACGACTCTTTCTCCTCCAGCAGGTCGCCCTTTTCCACCACCACCACCACCACCACCACCACCACCACCACCACCACCACCACCACCACCACCACCACCACCACCACCACCACCACCACCACCACCTCCTCCACTCATTTTCACTCCCTCCCGTCCCCACTCCTTCATCCCTCATCACCCCGCGCAGTCTCCTCCGTTTCGTTTTGTTGTCATATTTTTTCCTGTTCTTCTTCTCCTCCGCCTGGTCACATTTTCGCCGTATGCCTTCTCCACCACATCCGTCGCCTTCTTCTCGTTTTTTTGTTCTCGGCCTCCTCCTCTTCTTGTTCCTCGGTGTTCCTTCCTTCTCCTCCTTTTCGCCCTCCGCCGCCTCGCCCTCCTCTATTTGGCTTTACTTCAACCATCTCGCCCTCTTCCTCCCCATGCGTTCTCATTTTTCATTCTCCCCCCTTCACCTCCCCTGCTCGTCGTCGTCGTCGTTGTCATGGTTTTCCTCCCCGTCCATATCTTTTTCCTACTCCTCCCCCTCCGCAGCCACTTTGGCTCACGTTCGAAACGTGTGTCCCTGGCGCTTCGAACTTGGACGCGGCCGAGTGGTGGCCCAAGCGTCCCATTCGAGGTTCGACCTCGCTTTCTCCTGCCATGCGCAAAAGCACGCTTCGTTAGGGCATTTTGCCCCGCTTCCACAGAGCCATTCCGCGCGAGATGGCCAATCAGGCGATGATGGTGCAGCTCCAGCAACTGCTCGCCGCGCAGAGTGAGGACCGGAAATCCACCATGAAGAAGACCATCACCGACGAAGTTCATATGTCAGTTTCAGGCCTGCAGGGCCAGCTCACCGCCCAAGGTGCTGAGATGCAGGGGGTGAAGGAAATGCTCACCAAGCAGGGCGAGCGCATCAAGGTCCTCGAGAACTCCAGCCTCAGCAGCCTCGGAGGCAGATCGTACCAACACGTGTCCTTGACGGCAAAGCTTGGCGGGTGGTCGGGCTTGATGCCGAGCAAGACATGGGGGACCCAAACATCAAATTCGTGGGCACCTTTTCCACGGCCGCTCTTGGAAAATATCAGGAGAGTTCACTTTGACCAGACGAGACCGTCATCCCGAGCGAACACGACGAGAGCAAGGCCATTTCTGAGTTCCACGGCGTGAGTCAGACTTACAAGCTAGTCTTCAAGTTCAAGGTGAAGGCCCTTGACTTCCAGCAAACGTGCAGTGGCAACAGTATGCTGTGGATTGATTTTCGCGAGCAGTCGCAGCGCGACGTGCGTATCCGAGGAGACGTTCTTCTGCGTGCTCGATAAAAAAAATGTGCCCTGTCTGCGGTGTACCAGGCCGTCTTAGAGGAGGTGACCAAGTCACCGAAACGGCAATCATCCTTCAAGCTGGGGGTGAACGGTCACAAGGGGGCGCTGCAAATGGTCACCGACATTGACGTTTTTGAGCTCCTCCGCGCAATCCCAGCAGGGACAGACAAGTTCAACTTCGAACCGTTGCGCTCGTCGCTCGACTACTGGGGGGTCGCGAAAAAGCGCGCGGACAGCATCGTGAACCTCCCTAGCTTGCGACAGGCTCCTCCAGGGCGCGATAGTACAGATGTGACGCTCATTGTCTTTTCTCTTCCCTCGCCCGCTGCTGGCCGCGCATGCCTTTTGCGCGCCGGCGTGAATCATGGCGGCGGGGGCTGTCCTGGCTCCGCGGGTGTTGTCTCCTCCTTTCCCTCCGCTGCGTCCCAGATAAATGTCCAACAGCGCCACCCTTTTTTTCCCAGTTGTTTGCCGCCTTCGTCTCGGGCCCATCAAAGTGGCAGATTCATCGGATTTTCCATTTCCCCCCCCCCCCCCCCCTCAATAGTCTCAGTGCCTCCCCGAGCGAGCGCTCAAGATTGCGACCTGGAACTCGCCGGCCTTGGCGGGATCTCCGCGCGCAGACCAAGTTCGCGTGAAACGCAACTTTAGTAAGATACGCAGTCTTCTACAACGACACGATATTGCATGCCCCCCGGAAACTCATGGGGTTCCTGGGGACCTGGTCAATCGACAACGTGGGTTTAAGCATCATTTGCTTCGTGGTTCCCTCTGCCAGGAGGCTATTGCTGGCGGGCTCATCTTTTCCATCGGGATCTCCTCCCGGAGCGAGTGCGACTCGCGCGAGGCGGGGCCCGCGGCCGCAAGACGGGCGGTCATGGTTACTCCGATGGGGGCCCAAACGCGCGGTTCAAATCGCTAACGTCCACATCGACCCTGAGCTCCCCGAGCCCCAGGTCCGCGCCCTGTTTCTCCACCTCCGTCGCCTGGCCCTGGCCCCCGCTCTTACTCTGCGTTCCTTCCCGGGGGCTTCAACTGCCATGGAGAGGAGGGGGGGGGGGGATTGCGCGCCACCGCGGGGGCAGAGACGTTCCAACCTGCCAGGCCAGCGATTGCATTCCGCCAGGTTTTTGCGCGCGCGGGCGGGTCGCCCGCCAGCCTCTGTCTGTCTCGTGCGCGCGGTTGGATCGCATCTGCGCCGACATTCCCCCTGCCGGCACCCTCGACCTCTGCGCTCAATCCTCCGCTGTGCGGGGGAAATGTGACGCGCCATTTCCCTCTGGCCACGTGCTGCTCGGCGAGGCCGTGGAGGCCAGATGGCGGCGTCTCTTTACTTGTCTGGATTTTCAGGCGCGCTGAGTTTGCCGAGAATTTCGAGCGCCTCCTGCGGGGGCAGGGCCTGGGTGACGACCCGCCCACCAGGCCTGAGGAGGTGACGCGTATAATTTTCACGGCTGCCCAGAGAACGAAGTCCGAGATGTTTCCATCCAAAGTTGTTTCGGGCTTGAAACAGATCTCGTGCTGTTTACGGCTTGTTAGAGATCACCAGTCGCCGCGCAGGCGTCTGGTGGCTTCTGCTGTGCGCGCGTATCCTGTGCGTGCCGCCTTCTACTGCGCCGAGCGGATGAGTTGGTCTGGCTGGAGGCAGTGCCGCGCTCGCCTGTGCCAGCTGATGACCGAGGAGTTGAATGAGCAGGAGATGGCGTGGTGGGGGGAGGTCGTCACGGGGAATGCCCATTCCAAGTCCAACCTTGATGTTCACAGCATGCGCGCCAGGCGTCTCGCGCGAGCGCGGAAGCGAGCGCGGCGCGCAATCGGTCTCTCAGGAACCATCTACCAGAATGGACAATCGCATCACAGCCCAGATGCCTGCGCTCGTGCGTGGGTTGATCATCGGGGAGAAGTTTTGCCGATGCCCGCGTGGACTCTGGCCCTGGCGAAGCATTGTAACGCAATGTGGCGCCGCTGGCCGAGGATGATTCTCGATTTGCCAATTCTACTCATCAGTGTTTTCCCTCGGCCCAGGCATTCGATCTGTCAGCTGCGAGACTTGCAGGCTCGGGAGGAGGGCCCCGCTCCTGGTCCAGGCGGGCTGAGCTGCAGTGCGTGGCGAGCTGCGGGGCCTGATGTACAGGGAGCTTTTTGCGCTGTGTGCGAGCACGTGCTCGCTGGCAACCCCGTCGGCACCGACTTTGACGGCGCCCCGCTCGCCCCCCCCCCCCCCCCCCCGAGGGCGACGCCCCGCGCGCGGGGAATTCGTCTAAGGGGCCCGAGGACACCAGAGCCATCGCTCGCTCCAACACTGATAACAAGCTGATCAGTGCGACGATAGCTACGCCCATTGCTCAGGTCGCGGCTGGTCGCGGCCACAGCTCGCAAGGGGGATTCGTAAACATGCGCGTCAGATTATGGGTGGCGTGATAGAAACTGAATTTAACATGTTCAAGTAGGGCCCGGTGCATGGCCGCGCTCGGACAGGCGCGCGCCTGTTCGACTTCCGCGCCGCCTTTCCCTCGGCCCACCACTGCTGGGCCTCGAGGGTGCTAAAGGCTTTCCTGTTCCCCGAGTTCCCTGCTGTTGCTATCTCTTATTCTGCGCCGGAATAATGTTTGCTCGCTTCGTTTTCGCGCCCCAGAAATGTGGCTTCATCTCGGAGAGAGGAGTGCTACGCGGCTGCCCGTGATCCGGAGTATTTGTTTGCTTGGCCCTGGGCCCGCCGCCTCGACGTCTTGCTGGCAGAAGTACGGCGTTGCCCAAACAGACTTGCGCTCAACTGCGGTTGACATGTTTAGTGGTCTTACACCAGTGGCGCGTGCTATGTGCACCTACTGTATCTCGGCTGGCCTCGTCCTCAACGTTACCAAATGCGTCGTCATGTTGCATGGCCCCTCCCTCCTGAATAACGCCGTGCAGCTCGTCAAGGCTGGGGGCATCAATACTAGGGCGTGTGCGTGTGTGTGTGCGTGGTGGTGGCGGGGGGCTCATCAGCCGTGCGCGCGCGCCCCGCGGAATGCCACCCCGCCTGCGTGATTCTTCAGGTTGCGGGAGGTTGGCCTGGATGTCCAGGAAAACTCGTTGCGTGTCCAATCTCTGGCAGTCAGAGTGAGAGTTGCCCACAAGTCAGATGTCGCGAGAGTGCTCGCAAGTTTCAAGTCGACGGAGCCTCGGACGAAACCGTGTTTTGATGCAAAACCAGTTCGTTTTACCCCCATTCCCTACTTGCCCAACTCATGGGATATGATCGATCCTCGACTTTCATCCCACGGCTTCCGCCCGAGTGCCCCGACTGACACGTGCAGAGGAGGCTAGCTGGCATCATCAGTCATGCCGCGAACGCGCATGCGTTTGCGAGTGTCCTGAGGCCACGCCTTCGGACATGGCAACCGTGTATCTCCGAAGCCGAGGTCGAGAGTGTCTGCAGGGTGATGGGCCATGCCTTCCAGCGCGTACCCACTTTTATGTGCGTGAGTTTCCTGAAATCCATGTGTAACGGTTGGAATATTACCGGCAAGGTCCTGGAAGTTGTGTCATTGGTTGTCAGAATGTTGGCGGAGACGATTTTTTACTCTCTGTGTCATGCCGTGTATCTCGTCCCCATCAGTGTCGGTTTCTTCCCGCTCTTCCTCATGAGTAAGCGATTGATCCTCTCAGTGCCTTCCTCCCCCATGTTGTTCCTTTTGTTTCTGCCGATTGCCTGCCTTCGTACTTGCTCGCGCTCCGAGCTGTCCACTCTGCGTTTCAGGTCTTTCGCACCCCCGCTGCCCACTCCACTGCGTTTGCCAGGGATGTGATCGTTGGGAGAGTGCGCGTTTCCTTTAGGCGCTCCCAAGCCTTCGTTATCCTTCGCGCATCCCTCGTTCTGTCGATGCGGCCCAAGGTTGCTCCAAGGCGGCTCAGGAGGCCCCCGTAGCGGCCCAGTTGGCAGCTAGGGGGCTGGCCAGCCTCCTGCGCTGCCCCGCGCTTTCACAAAAAAATAAAATGCCGCGCCACCGGCGGCCGTCTGGGCGCGAGATCTGCAGCGCGAGGCGCGGCCAACGCTCTGTGAGCACGATGGGGATTTATCAATGGGTTCCAGACCTACGTAATTCCGTCCAGGGGTCTACGCGGGAGGTGGCGGCGAAGGAGGAGGCGGAGGAGGCGGAGGAGGAGGAGGAGGAGGAGGAGGTGGAGGTGGAGGAGGAGGCGGCAGGGGAGGAAATACCAAGAAAAGATGGAGGAAACGTTAATGGAGGAGGGGAAAGGGGATCAAGTGTGCGAGGCGGGTGGGAGGGTGGGGGGGGCAGAGGCGTTGGAGGAGGAAGAGGGACGGACAGGGGAAAAGGAGGCCGATGACAAAGAGGGGTTGGGGCGCAGAGGAAGAGTAGGAGGTTTTGTTTCATTCGAAGGGGGGGAAGTGCTAGCCTCAGCGGCTCGAAGGGCCTTGGGTCAGGATACAAGCGTGAGGCCGAGTGGCAAACTGCCGCTCGTATCAGTGCGGGTCGCCTTCGCTCGCCGGTCCAGGAGCCTCCGCCCCCTCCTCCTCCTCCCTCGTTTCCCCTCCCCCTCCTCCGCCTCCTCCTCCGTCCTTCCTCCCTTCCTCCTCCTCCTCCGTCCTCCTCCTCCTCCCTCCTCCTCCTCCTCCTCCTCCTCCTCCTCCTCCTCCTCTCCTCCCTCCTCCTCCTCCTCCTCCTCCTCCTCCTCCTCCTCCTTCTCCTCCTCCTCCCCCTCCCCCTCCTCCTCCCCCTGTCTTCCTCCTCGTCCTCCTCCTCTCCCTCCTCCGCCACCTCCTCCTCCTCCTCCTCCTCTCCCGCCTTCTCCCCTGACGGCCACCGTGTCGACGCTGACGAAAGCGACGACGACCGACGACGACGATGACCACGGCTACGACCGCGCCCCCGATGATTGATATCACCAAGACGACCTCCGCGGTGATTCCGGCGACGACAACGACGACGACGATTGCCTTGCGAGCACGATCACGACGACGGCGAATGCGACAACGAAGACGGCGACCGCGGTGGCAGTGACAGCAAATTCCGATCAATGTCTGGACGAGGCACGCCAAGTGGTGCGTCGACCGTTTTTTATCGGGGACCGCCCGTCAGGAGTTTGACATGAAAACGGTTACGGTCGCGGGCTGCATGTTGTTCTTGATACTTCCATGCTGCTGCGCGAGGTTCGAGTCATGTCGATGCGGCAGCGACACAAGCGCGGGCGTTCAAGGTCGAAGGTTGAACGCCGCCATTGGCCCGGACCTGGCTGACATCGAGCGACTTGCGCTATCGGAGTGCCTTGATCCTTCCAGGCAGAACGGTGCACACGGTGTCGGAAGCCAGCGCGCAGGTCGCCACGACACGACCCCGCCCTGCTCACGCTGCACCACCCTCCCGGACGCAGGGCCGTCAAGGGCATGCAGTGCGGGCATTCCTTCGTCGTCCGCGCGGCCACCGAGACGTCGCCGACCGCCCCCTCGCGGCCGCTCGGGGGGACAGCGGCTCCGCTGCGCCCACGAGCAGTTCGACAACGACGCCGACGCCGACGACGACCACTGCGACCACTGCGATCACGAGCAGTCCGATCACGACGACTTCTGCGATCGCGACGGCGGCGAGGACGGCGGCGGTGGCGGCGACTGAGACGATGGCGAGGCCGGTGGCGGCGGCGGTGAGGACAGCGGCAGCGCCGACGGCGGGGAGGGCGAGGAGAGGTAGCGTTGGGATTCCTCGCCCGCCGTCTTCACCCCTCCGCCTCGGTTTTGGACGACGCCTTGCTTTCTAGGGGATTGTTCGGCGGAGTTGTGGCCACGTTCGCAGGACAGCCTTTGGCACTTCTGTCGACTTCGTGTGTGGCGGCAGTTTCGCTGAGCTCAGAAATCAGCTTGTGTTGCGCTCTGGAGGAGAATAGCATGAAGTCACCGCTCTGCCTCGCTAACTTCCTCCTTGCCCCACGCAACCTCCCATCGAAAAACAAGCATCAGCATAAACATAAATTTTCGGAGGTCCGCGCAGATTTCTTGGATCGTCGCTGTTCTCCAAAATTTCTCGGGTTCCTCTTCCTCGGCTTCCTCGGCTTCCTCGGGCTTCCCGCCCTCGGTGCCTCCCATTGTTGCGTTGTTCATTTCCCGGAGGTTCCTCGGGTTTCCCCGGGTTCCTCGGGTTCCCCGCTACGTTGCCCGTTCCTTGGAGGTTCCTCGGGTTCCCCGGGTTCTTCGGGTTTTTCGCCTTGGTTGTTGGTTTTGTTTCCGAGCAATGCCAGGCAGCTGCAGGCAACGTCAAGCAGTGCCGAGCAACGCCAAGCACAACAAAACAGTGCAAAGCAACGCCAAGCAACGCCACGCAACGCCAATCAACGCCAAGCAACGCCAAGCAGCGCCAAGCACTGCCAAGTAAGGTCAAGCGTCAAGCAGTGCCAAGCAGCGCCAATCAATGCCGTCAAGCAGCGAGAAGCAATACCAAGCGATGCAAAGCAATGCCAAGCAACGGCAAGCAACGCCGAGCACTGCAAAGTAATGCCAAGCAATGCCAAGCATTGTGAAGCAATGCCAAGCAACCCAAAGCAATGCCAAGCAACCCCAAGCAATGCCAAGCAATGCAAAGCAAACCAAAGCAATGCAATGCCAATCAATTCTAAGCAACGCACAGGAAGCGTTCCCTTACTTGGGGTCGCGCCGGGTTCATTTTGTTTCACTATCCGAGTCCTGGCATCACGCTGCGGCTGCTTGCCGTCGACCTCCCGCGCTCCGAAGCTCGTCAGCATCCGGCCTTGCAGCTGGACCGCCTCCGCGCAGCAGCCCCCGCACGGACAGGCCACAGCAGCAAGGCAGGGACCTGCGCTCCACAACCTCGCCCAGAGGGCATCGTGCAAGTGCGGATCCGCACGCGCCCTCTGAGCGCGCGTCGCTCCGCCGGCCCGCCCATCCCCGCGGCCGCCCCCGCCGAACGGGGAACCACACACGCGCAACTTTCCGAGGTCAGCGGAGCTCTCTTGGACTGGCGCTGTGCCCCCACTCCCTTCCGCGCGGAGCCCGCCAGGGGCGCCGGAGGCGCCGCCGAGGGGGCGCCGGAGGCGCCGGAGGCGCCGACCCAAGACATCCGCGCGGGCCTCCGAACGTTTGTGACCGCGCAGCGTTCTGCTCCTCTGCGCTCTGGCCCCGACGCTGCGGCCGCCGGTGGCTCCCCTGGCCGAGGTCGGGCTGCAAGGGGAAGACCGTCCAGATGAAGCAGCAGGCCGCGCGCGCGCCGCCGCCGGCAGCGGCGGCGGCGCCCGACGATGCGGCCGGCGGCGGCGACGCCCCACGATGACAGCGACGTCGGCGCACGCGACGGCGGCGACGACGATGTGGACGGCGGTGCCGACGAGGGCCGCGGCGACAGGCGAAGGGTGGTTGGTGGCCGTGGAGAGCAGGGTCGATTTCGATGCGATCGATCCGAGTCGATCTCGATTCCAGCTGGCCCGATCCGGTTTAGCTCCGATATTCTGACGATCCCACGTGGCATTTTGCTGGCATGGCGTTGTTGCGCATCCTGGCGCGGCCGATCCTATCCGATTTCGACGCCATGACGATGCCGTCCAGTTCGAAGCTGACTGACAAAACATTGAGGATATGAATGCACATCGAGCTTGAGATCGACTACAGACTTGATTTACACGAAGGTTGTTGTTCCGTCGAATGTCTAATGAATGCGTAGAATGCGTCGAATGTTTAAGGAATGCGTGAATTATACGTATCGAAGACGCCTACGGCGAATCACCGCCGCCCCCTGCTTTTGTTGAACCGCATATGTGGCTGAACGTGGGGGCTAGATCTTGGCCAAGACATCGGACCATGTGTTCCCCGCGTGGGTCAGGAGGGCATTCGGGGAACACGCGTGGGATGAGGAGGGGCAGGAGGAGTGGGAGGAGGAAGAGGAGGAGGATGACGAGGAAGAGGGGACGGAGGAGGAGGAAGGGAAGAAAGAGGAGGAGGAGGAGGAGGATGGGGAGGGAAAGGGGCCATCTTGGAGGTCATCCGAGAGCGCTCCCGAAGGCCATGTTGATGGGATGTCTTGAGCGAAACGCTCAACTTTCGAACACAACTGCTAAACACAATTGTGTTTTCCCATGGTTTCGCTTCTTGGGCCATGTTGGAGGTCTTCTGAGAGCGCGCCGACATGATCGTCGATCTATTCTTTTGCAGCAAAATGTCTGCAGCGAAATGGCCGTTTTGGAAGATCCGAAGATGACACCATCGAGTTCAGCATCCCCATTGTTTGAGGATGTCTCGTGCGACACGCTTATTTAAATCAGAAGGCATCTTGGACTAGGATCCCACATATCGCAATGTGTTGAGGATGTCCCCAGCGAGACGGCCGTTTTCGAGGCAGAATTATGTGGGATTGAGGTGGTTTGTGGTGGCCTTTCGCGTGGACGTTGGACGGCTGTTTCGAGGATGCCTCAGGCGAAACATTTACTTTTAGCATATGGCGTCTTGAGCTAGGATCATCAAGATCGCGATTTGTTGAGGATGTCTCGAGCGACGGTGGCGGGTTGGGCTGGAGCCCCAGGGGGAGTTCTTGTTAAAAAGAAACAACACCAAACCAGTAGGATCTATCACGCCAGGCACCCCTATGGCAAGACCACAGGAGGCGGGGGACTTCTAATCGCCTTCGGCCCATCCCACCACCGTGCCCGGTTTGTGTGTCAGAGTTCTCAGCGATGCTTCTTGGGGTGCCTTCGGAGCGATTTCGGGGGCATCTTCTGGGCAGTTTTGTGGCCTCTTGGGGGTCTATCGGCAGCCTCTTTTGGACCTCTTGGGGGCCTCTTGGTGCCTCTTGGAGCCTTTTGGGGGCCCCTCGGGTCCGAGGGCTCGAAATGTCTGTTCTGGTTCCCCATCTAGGCCCTTTATTTTGGAGCCGTCTTGGGCGCCTCTTGGGCCGTCTTGGGACCCTCTTGGGGGCCTTTGGGGCGATCTTGGGGGCCTCTTGGGCCGTCTTGGATCGTCGGGAAGCCGGCAGGGCGAGAACGCTAGAATCTTTCAAAACCCTAAGGCGGATTAGTGAATTTTGGCTCGTGGGGCCCTCTTGGGTGGCTTCTCGGGGCGTCTTGGATGCCTATTGGGCCGTCTAGGGGCCATCTTGAGCGTCTTGAAGGGATCTGTGCGCGTCTTGGGACCCTCTTGGACCGTCTTGGGAGCCTTGTTGGACCCTCTAAGCCCGTCCTGGGGCCTCCTATCAGACAAAGGACCCGCGGACGCCCACTCATTGTCCCGAGGCACGGTGACTCATTCTACGAACGTTTTCATTCCGGGGTGATTCTATTCTGCAGTCAGTCTCCTCCTCGAATGATGGACCAGAGTGGGGTGAGGGACTGAAGTGAGCTGGGACAAGGGCGAAAGATAACGAGCGTTTGTCCGCGGCCGTTTGTGTTCAACCGGCCGGCCGCCGACATACGATTATGCCTCATTGCGAAGCATACGACTTGCCATCAAGACCGAAAACGTCCTTCGTTTCAGATGGCCCGTCGCTCCCGCGACGACCTCCTCCGACTGGGACGATCGTTACTCGGTATAACAGAGCGAGCTGCGCTTCGCCTAAGGCGAAGCTTATGGACGGGCCTACCAGCCCCCTTCAAACTTGGTAGCGGAGCTTGCTTATGGTGGTCAGCTCTCGAACTACTCCTCACCATCCACGGCACTATCTGGTGGACTACTGACATGGTGCAACATCAGGGTACAGTAAGCCTGCGCGGAGGAATGTACATAACTACGCACAACCGCAAGGGCACTTGCAGTGCTACTTCTGCTCTGCGCTACTACACCCCTGAAGTCCACCCACCTATTCCAATTGGAAACTTCGTCGAAGATACCACGCATGGCAACGCGCGGTACACGCGCCGCCTCCACCCCCACGCAGGCTTACAACAAAACACCGCAAACCTCAGCCACCAACATCCGACTACGACCTACGGGGCCATTGGATTGGCGTTGCTATCTTTGGTCATATATGAGTCGCTATCGGGCGCGCTGTGGGACACATGCGCGGGGGAGACGACGCAAGAGCAACCGGCCCCCATTGGGACCTGGCCGGTCAAGTGCTTTTCCGCGAATTTGTTCAAGAGGTACATGCCTGGACCAACGTGTTTCCGCAGGTAATATGACGCCGTTCCAACATGCTGCAGCATTGCAGCGTGGTCTGGGAGGCCTCGCACGGACCATAGCCGCTAGCCATGAGAGTTCCCCCAACAGTCATTAACTGTTGCGTCGACATAGGTTGGCCGTCGTATTGATGGTGCCACTTCCATTATGTTCTTCCTTAGCAAGAAGTTTGAGAACTTAGAGTAGGAACGCCAACTTAATCGGGGCACTGCTCGCATCGACTTTCGAGTCCATTCGGGAGAACAAATCGACCAGAAAATGGTCCGCTTCGAGATATCCCGCTACGAGGCTGAAGTGGCGGGCTTTAACTTTCCCAACTTCAGATCCGAACAGTTATTTGTTCAGAGCCTTAGGAGTAGGGACGTCGCGCGCAAAGCAACTCACTCCCACGGCCGCTCAACCACCCAATTCCGAGGAATCAGCAGCAATTTGATTATCTGCTTGCAGGGGTGAGACCATATGCTCAGATTGCTGAGCAAGCCCCTGGCAATATTGGTGGCATCTTCAGCCGCGGTCACCGCGCCGAAACTTTTAATGCTGCAGCCAACGCAGGGCAACCTGCTACAAACGTCTGGAATGACGATCCGCACCCAACGGAGACCACCACGCTATTTGCCCAAAATGGTGGTCCGGCTGCGGGGTCGTCGCAAGATTTCTGGGCCAGATATCAGGAGCCGTCGGCATAGGCGGCTCCTACGCTAGCCACTGCCCTTGTAGGCTCAACGGGGCAGCCCGCTGAGTCTGACTTCGGCTCTGGAACCGACGCCGTCGCGTCATCAGACGACGGAACGGATGCCCTAGACTACTCCGATCTGCCCACTTTTCTTATGGAAGAACAACGGGCTCAATGGCTGTTTCTAGGATATCAGAACCATGCGCGCAGATGGAGACGAGTTATGAATCAGCCAATTCGCAAGGCACGACGTACTTCCCGACGGGCACTTATGGGGAAAGGGTGAAGGTCGAGACAGGGGTAAGGGCAAACGGCGGCGGTTGCATGGCAGAGGTATGTTAGTTGTCCTGGCGCCCCTTACTGGGCCGCGCTATGAAGAACTATTTCTGAGCCCAGGCAGGGGTCGCAGGCGCGCTTCAGGACGGGGTGGCGAGGGGCGTCGGGGCAACCCGGAAGACGCTAACGGTAACACGATGGAACGTGACATCTGCCATAGCGCGCAACATTTCCGCCTCGAGCGCCCCCGGGGCGATGGGGGAGGCAGAGGTCCGTCGATGCATTTGGCTCAAACTGATTGCGACATGCAGTCTGTCGATTGGGAAGCGTCACTGGCCGACCCTGCCGACAATCCAGCTGCATTTGTCAACGTCATGGCTGCCAGACATTTAATTATAAGTGCCAGCGTGCCCCTCGAGAATTACGTCGACGAGCTCTCCGAGAAGATATGCGTTGGCCATGCTGGGATCAACTTGGCAGACGGGCTAGGCATGCCCTTCGCGGGGCAACCTGCGCAGATCGAGTTTGTTGAGGGCCCCCCTATACCTGCCGATGTAGATCAAGATATGGCGGGGGCACCTGTGGACTCTGAAGCTACAATTCCAGCGACAGAAGAAGACGTGCAAATGATGCTTCGTTCGCAGGCCATTGGCAACCCGACAAACATGGCTTCATATGGCGATGATCTTTTGCGGGGGGGGGGGGGCGCGAGATACTGGCGACCTTTTCTGAGAGCGTCCAGCGCGAATTTGGACAACATCAAGATCATCATTTTACGTTCGTGGCTATGAGGCGGTCTCCGAGCCGCCGGGGGCGATCAACGCGCTGCCAAGTTTGATGGCGTGCGAATCGCTCAGATAATGGCGACAGCGAGTGGGAAGCGGAGGGCCAGCGTTTGCGGCGTCGCGGTCGCGTCCGCAGCTATTCGCGCGGGCACTCGCGCGCGCGCTCCAGCGGTGCTCGCCCCAGCGGCAACCGGCGCCTTCACCCCCCTGATACGAGGGCCCTAAAGACCCCGCCAAGAAGGGGTAACATACCTGGGGGCCCACCGCGGGGGGGCCCTCTTCAGGGGGGGGGCCGTCCAGCCACGCCCTGGGCAGGAGGCGCGCAACGCCTTGTCAGCTAGAATCATCACGGACTAGCTC